TTTCCTAAACTGGTAATCTTTCATATGATCCGAAAGATATGCAAGCAGAGATTTTATAACAGAATTAGGCAAAGTTTCTTATCATCAATATTTTTGATATCACTAATTTCCTCAATATCATTAATATCTTCGGTAGTAGTCAAAGATGAAGATTTATTAATAGAAATAGAAGACAAAGATTCAATCATAGGAGGTGAAGGTTCAACGGTAGGTAGAGCAGAAGAATTAATGGCAGGTAAAGTAGCAGGAACGATGGTAGGTAGAGCAGAAGAAACGATAATAGGTGGAGCAGAAGAATTGCAAGCAGGATTAGAAACAAATGCGTTACTTGTGTATAAATTAATTGCGGAAGTAATTAGCGAAAGTTTGTAAGGATGGCATGTATTATGATGTTTATTCACTTTGAAAGTTGGTTTTTTTGAGCTATTTTTACAGATTCGGGAATCATCTTAGAGAATTTAATGTCGTGAATATGTTATGATTTGGTTTAACAAAAGTATGAATATTTATATATTATTGCGGTTTTCAAGATGATTGAAAATGGCAAGTAAAAAATTTTTTAGTAAATATTGCGAATACATACTCAAATACTCAATTATTAATCGTAGTACTTGTGCACGATCTCTATAGCTAGCTAATTACACTGAGAGAGATGCTTGGGAGCACCCTCAGCTCCTGAAAATTGATTATGCCAATGATTAATGTAATTGAAATACATATACAGCTAGATATCCTAGTTTCGATATGCATTATTATATTATAATAGTAAAATTGGTTGATAAACAAAAACAACTCATTATCCCTTAAACCGTTTGTCGTTCAAATTTGCACTGAAATTTTAAATTTTGATTGGTAGCTCACGTAGCACTTGTATTACCTTATAAATTAAGGTTTTAACTATCTTAATTAAAAATCCCGATCTTGCTTTATTTAGAAATTCAATAAATTCCTTTATATTATAGAAATTATGATCATCAGGCTCGATCTGCATTTTCGTTACCTTATTAAAATTGATCTACGAACCTTATTAAAAATTTATTGATACGTATTTTTTTTTACGCATTCTTATTTTTATTTTCGGATGGAAATATGAGTGAAGATATTGAAGATAATGATTCATATACCTTCGAGTTCACACGTATTATTACCAAAATTGAGGATGAAATCGAGATTGATGATCCCACGGACGATGATACTGAAAATGAATTTGAAGATGAATTTGAAAACGAAACTGATAAAGAAACCGAAAATGACGCCACAAATAGCAAGAACAAAAGAAAAAAAGATAATAAAAGTAGTCGAGCAAAAAAAAAAACTTATGTACCCCATTCCTCAAATTTGCTTAATTTACCATCACCTCCGTCATATCAAAAACTTCAACATACAAAACCGTATCATTCCTCTCAGATAAAATTATCTAATAAATTAGCCATTGGCGATGTTACATCACATTCAATTTTTCGTTTGTTTTTCTCTAATTTACAGCTAAATATGATTGTTGAAAATACGAATTACTATGCTGTAGCAAAATCGGCGGCTAAAGGGCGTGAGTGGGTTCCTTTAACGGTAGAAGAATTATTGATATGGTTAGCTTTAGTAATTTACATGGGTATTTTTAAATTGCCGAGTAGGGAAGACTATTGGAAAACGGATTGGAAATATCCACAACATAAAGTTATTAAATACATGACATTAGTTCGATTTGAACAAGTTATGTCATTTATTT